TCTATGGCTATGATGTAATTGCAGACACTAACATTTACACCATGGTTGTTGCTTAGTTTTTCTAAGGATTTTATAATGTTTCAGCAAATAAGCCATGCAAGACTCCGAAGCCCCATGCAAACACTGTACTCTTGCTCCTGAGATGCACCAAGCATTCCTTACCTCTTCAGGTCAACTGTTGTGACACTGAACACCACTCCCTTCAGCCAAAGGATCATGAAGAGCCTCTGTGAGAAAGGGCAGTTTCCTATGCTTTCCCCATCGCTGCCAGCCTGTAGGAGAGAGCACAGATCACAGCTGTTAGAAGGCACCACAGTGCCACATACACAGGTACTCAAAGCTCTTCATGTAGAGGCAGACTCAGCAGCAAATCATGGACATTGCTGCCTGCACATCATTCGCTCTGCCACAGAGCAGAGCACACAGCAGGAATGCTCCCAGAGCACTGAACAGACCACTCAAAGGTATCCCTATGCAACACACGAAGACAAGCACCCTCAGAGCACATAACACACTTCACATATTGGGGCTCTGTTATTTTATTTGTGTGTTTTCCTCTTGGATCTTCCCACCACGTTGTTTTGGTAGCAGATATACCTATGACTGCAGTGCAATTCACCCCGAGCAGCCACACATTCAACAGCAGTTTCCCAACATCGTTTGTTGGATTGATTCCTTCGTCTTCCCCCAGGCACAGTAATTAATTACAGCCATCTTCCAGTCCATTGCTCATCTCACTGCATGGCACTGCAGCGAGCCAACTGCAAGCAGCAGCTCCAAACCTTGGCTGTACCAACGGCTGTTACAAGGAAGAACAGAGCTGTGCCCTCTGGAACTTTGCTGCTCATATTCCAAAGACATTTTTTAATAGGAAACTTATCAACAAATGCTGCCACAAGAAAGGTTATTGTATAACAGCAGTGAGCAACCCCAGGGCAGCCAGCCATGGCACACATCCCATCGCTGCCCTGACAGTGCAGTGTGTAGAGCTGAGCTGGAAAATCTGAGTTTTCAGTGGGATGGAAGCAGACAGTGGAAACCTTGAGTCCTGTTGTAAAGTCTGAGCCCTGGTTCAGGAGTTGAGGCTGCTGTATATAAAAAAAAAAGAAACTACAGGATTTTGTGGATTATTATCAGAACGCTTCCAAGAATGATTTCAATCAACCTGGGCTTTAGACATGTGCTGATTCCTCCTCTGCTGCTGTCATGGGACTGTGCTGTAGGACACACTGACTGCCCTCCTCTGACACAGTGCACCAAACGATGTGAAATGCAGGGCAGGTGACTGGAAGGGCTGAAAGCCTGGGCACTGACTGGTGGAGATCCATTTAAACAGGAGCAGAGTAAGGTTTGGGCACTCACCAAAGGAATTGCTTTTTCTCCAGCTCTCTGCCAGTTCCCAGCCACTGAGAGGGGCCCCAGTGGGGAGAGCACAGACTGTGCAAGTGTCAGAGTGAGCAGCAGCGCTTCCAAAGGGCAGGGAAAGAAGAAAGCTTTTCATCCAAAGTGTCTCAAAAAGATCCTTTACCTTTAAAAAACTCCAATGCCTTTCAGCAGGGAAGTTGCCACCAGAACAGGAGGATTCAAACCAATTTCTGCCGCCCTCAATTCGTGCTTTGTTGTGGGCGATGTACAGCTGTTTTTCTTCAAACCTTTGCCACTTCCACTAATGAACATTTGAAGAAGGAAAGTTGCTGGGTTTTGTGCTTGCTTTTTGCTTTGCATACATCACCAACTGGTGAGAGAGAGCAGCCAGCCTGGGCACTCAGCTCAACGCACAGCTTTCTGCTGTGCATACAACCACTAAGGATGGGAGCTGCTGCACAACGAGTGCATTCCTGCTTCCACCATCTATATACCTATCTCTATGTATATATATTACCTCCCAGACTAATTTGCACTGTGAAGCAGAAATGACTCTATGATACAGAACCTATCTCAGCCTTCAATTGTGAGCAAGCACGACGCCAGGCTCAGCCCACAGTTCCACCCTTAAGGACACAGAGCTCTGCTCAGTCATCTTTAATTCAGCACTTCTGACACCGAAGCCAGGCAGCAGAGCTAGCTAATACAACACATGCTGCCGAGGTCTCATCTCACCTGCACCCATGTCTTCTTTATCACCACAGGATTGTATTATTTCCAGGGGAAGATGGAAGGATCACAGCTGAAATAAAGCACTCTCCAATGCAAGGAGCGCTGCGGTTCGTTGTGCTACAAACAAAGTCTTGGGCCATCTGGAACCCAAAGCAAAATTGCTTTGGGAACAAAAAGCAGTTGGGACTTTATGGCACAGCCCATTTTCCTAAGCCAATCCCAAGGCAATTCCAATGAGGACCAAAAAAAGTCAAACACATTTATGCCATAATACAACAACTTGTACTGAAACTTGTCTTCTCTCCCATCGTGAGCATAATATTCAAAACGACCAAGCAATTTGACAGCATCTACTTCTGTTTGAGCATCATGGGCTGCTTAGATTGCTTGAATCAGGAAAAAAAAAAAAAGAAAGGATTACAGCCCACCAACCAACAGCAACTTTAACAAAACAGAATGCATTTCCAAAGCTGCAACTGAACAGCTTAACGAAGCACAGACTTTTCTATCTGCATTCAAAGGGTTGTCCCACTTCTGCTCCAAAAAGTCCCAAGTTATTCTGAGCACATACTGGAAAAGGAATGCGGTCAGAACGCCAAGAAACTTCTGGCTTCAATGCTCTTGAGGCAAGGGATTCTGCTTTGTAAGTGCTTGCCCAAGAGGCCCGTTCCTATCTTCCTGCATTGGATGCAGCAGGAGCTGCTGCTCAGACCTCCATGCTGTGTCACTGGGAGCAGCACTGTGCTGCCAAGGCACTGCATTGCTGCTTGGGACACGCATGGACTTCTTCTGCAGGGCGACGGGCTGCTCCATGTCTCTGCAAGAGCCGCTCAAGAGCCATTTTCTCCACTGCAATAGATGGAAGTTCAAGCAAACAGACTTAAAAAATATTTAATAATAAAAGATCAGGTCTTGAATTCAGCAATCCGTATCTCAGGTTAACTAAGAAAATACTCTGCTGGGAAGATGACATGAGAAAAGCAGCACGATGCGTGCCCATGGCCCCAAAGAGCAGATAACAATCGCTCCTGCATGCTTCACGAGCAGTGAGCTCATCCGAAAAATAAGCAAATAATCCCATACGGAGCAGTGTTTTAAAAGGAAACTGTTTGTGGGGGAATAACAAAGTGATCCAAGCGAAAAACACACAGCAGCTCAAAGCCCAGGGGTGGAAATGCAGAGAGGAGCGGTCCAGCGTTCCCCACATAGCACAGAGAACAGCCCAGCAGTATCAGCCTCAATCCTTCCAGCTCAGCTCCGGCCTTTATCTCACCAAGCTGGATAAACAGAATTCCGTGCTGCTTGCAGGGCAAGGCTTGCAGATAAGATGTGCAGGAGGAGGGGTGGGCAGGCAGCACCTGGGGCAGAGCAGTGGGACAGCACAAGGGATCCCCATACGAGCTGCACCGAGGAGCACAACCCCTCTCTTCAACCTTTCCATGGGAACCTAAAGCTCGGTAGCACTCCACCAGGTTAGCTGTGCTCGTACCTGGAACCATCTGCCAATACAAAAGACTGCGATGATTAATTTGTGGTTTCCATACGATGATCGTCACCCACCCCACCCAGGGGAAGAGCAACCCAAGGCTCTTGGTGAGCTGCGTCATCGGCACTTGGTTTCTCACCAATTCCCACGTCAGCCAACATCCACGTCAACCCCCCGAGCATTTAGGAATGAATGAATGAGCCGACGGAGCTCCCTGCGAGGCCCACAGCTCTGACAGCACACCACGAACCGAAACGTCTCTCAGCCCATCCAAACAGCTCCTCAATCACCGCTGTGTCACACAGCCGACGCGCAGAGCAGCGACCATTTTAGGACGAGGCTGCATTCAGCCTTGTGATGCCACTATCCTAATTATTAGCAGTTTTGTCTTGGGCGGCTTTGTGCAGCTCTTACCGCTACCTGATTTTTAGCACAGAGCTTTTTTGGGGGGAAAAAAAAGCTGTGGGATTTTCAGGATGTATGAAAGTAACTTCGCGATTCAGTAGAAATTCATTAAGTGCTTCATGATCTTGGGAGAAAAGACATTATGCCATGGTCACCCTTTGTGAGAATCAATTCAAAACGTGCATTAAATACTGTCCATCGCTTTCTTCAGTGGAGAAATCAGCTTGATGGCATGAATGCAACAACGTGGGGTTATTCGACACAGCCCACACGTGAGCTTCTCCTCATCTGACGTAGGAAAAATAAGCAAGCTCACCTTTTCCACCCCTTTTCAATATGTTTAACAAAGTGACTCAGCTGTAACAAACCCAGATAAGGACAAACGTGTCCAAATCCACTGAAATTTGCTATGACACATCCCTGCAATATTGAGTAGGAAACTGCCAATTAGGCTGTTGAGTCTTCAGCACTACAGGTTTCTCTATAGAAAATCCATCACCAGGGAGTTCCGACGTGTGAAAGCAGCAACACAGCTGAAAACCAACTGCCAGAAAACCAAACCAGAGAGAAAACATCCATAGCCATGGAAGAGAACTGCCTAGCAATGAAAACATTGCTCAAATTCTCAAAACTCACTGAAGCAGAGCTGCAGTTCTGAACGGTACCCCCTGCTAACAGGGCACTCCAATGCTCCAGCAAGGAGAAAACATCGTCTTGGGCTGAAACAGGAGTCGGAATCTGGATTCTGGAGCTGCTAAAGCATGAAGGTTTGCAGGGAGGCTTGCTTGCTGTTGCTTCTGCTCCCAGCGCCATCCATGAGTGCACATCTCTCAGCACCAGGATCCCAGATCCCCATTTGCAGAGCAAAGCTTCCTCCTCCAGGTTGCTGCCTCACCTCATTAGGATCCAGCACAGCGTGTCACACCGGGGCAGCTAAAACACCGTTCGAAGGATTACAGCAACCCACTTGTGCTTTCTTTCACTTTATTTTTAGACAAAACCACGCAAAAAAAAAAAATATATCTATTTCCTTCATTTAAAAATAGCAGCCCTCCAAAGCACAGACCAAAGTCTAGCCAAAATAGTCATTCTTGAACGGAGCCAAAAAGCTCTGAAGGCGATCCAGTAGCGCTGACTGATCTCATTAGCTCTTCCCATGAAAACACACAGATATGACTTCACCCCTGGATTACACTCCTATATTTAGTTTATACCTAATATGGACATTCAGGGCACAGAACGCAGTCATTTCCTCTCCTCACACAGAGCTCCTTGCCCTTTGTCTGGCCAACAATACGAGGAATCAGGCTGAACTCCTGGAGAACTCGCACACAAAGAAGGCTGTAATTAATAGCAGCTTAGCTTATGCTTTTAACTTCTGCATAAACAAACACTGCATTCTCAGCTCTAAAAATCAGACTGGGTTGGACCTGAGCTGGAAAAAAAAAAAAAGAAATCAAAACAAGCTTCAAGAAATTAAGCATTATCTTCTAGAGGAAAAGAACAACATTCCGAGTAAAGAATTTTTACAGCCCTTGACGTCAAGGTCCTGTTCAAGCTCCTATGGAGACAAAGTGGTTCTGTTTGGGGGTGTTTTAACTGTTAAGTGTTGGTGCGGAAGAGTGCAGGCCTGGTGTTGCTGCACTGCACAGAATGGTTCGTGTGAGAGAGACCAAATGCATGCATTGGAGAGAATGGAGCCCCCGGATCTCTTCTCTTTTTATGACATGCACTGCAGTTTGTGCTTGCAACCCCTGGGTGCGAAGTCCACCAGAGCCCTGCTTGCTGTTCAGCTGAAAGTCCAATGAACTCCCTGGCTGGGCTCCCAGAGACAACGCAGCCCTCAGAATCCACGAGCTGGTGGTGAAGGAGCTGCAGAGCCACGGCTCTGTGCCCAGCCACAGCCCCTCCGCCACACCAGGCTGCGCCCAGTGCAGACAGGAGGGGTTACCACACCTCCACGCAGCCGTTCCTCACCTCTTTACCTCCATCTTCACCTCCCAACAGGCCAGCTCTTTTAAGAGGATTCTCATGCTCAGTTATTTCCACTCAGTCACAAGCAGCCCCTCTCCCCTCGAGCCCACAGGCATGGAGCTGCATCCCTCACCATGGCACCGGAGCTTCCAGCCCGGCGCAGGGCATACCCCAATGGCCACGCAGCAGGGATGCACGCACACAGCAAAGCACTCACTGGACAGGCTGAGATGTTCTCAGATGCTGAAGTTGTTGCATTAAAACCTCCAAAAGGTGATCTTGTGCATAGGGAAGAGCCTCACCTAACAGGATTATCAAGCAACAGGTCTGCCCCTGACAGGAGCACTGCTGGGAAGCGATGCTGTGCCTCCAGCTTTGCTGCTTCTTCCTATTGATGAGCTGTAATTCAGACAAAGCACACGTTGGTGTGCATCCCCCCCTGCCACGAGCTCAGTGTGAACAGGACTACATCCCACAACACAAAGATCTCACCTGCCAAATGCCCGTGTGGTTCACAACTGCTGGCAGTTTGTGAAGGATATTTATTAAATGTGAATTCACAGCTGTTTTCTACAGAGCAAACTATCTGGTTTTCAAAGCAGGTGCCCAATTTCTCAACAACAGCCCATAGAAAGCTGCCAGATACCCAAGGTCTAATTAATTGACGAGTACGCACACGCTGCATGGGTGAAGATGGGGTATTCCTTAGCCATCACCTCCATCTACTACATCCCAGTGCCTCCTGCCAGCAGACAGACGACCACAGACTTCCTGTTGGTTGGGTTTTCCTTCTCACACACCTGCTGTCACCTTGCTATTACCAGCACCGATCCCTCCCTCCCCTCTGGGATGCCGAAGGCCGCGCTGCGGGCAGCTCCCATCCCCACCTCCTTTGTATACAGGCTCCGTCCTGTGGTTTCCACAGATGAGTTGTCCTGTTTGACCAAAGCAATTGGGCACGCTTGTTATTTACAGTGAAAATCCACCTTTGATTTCCTAAATTGCAATTGGAAGCGAGCTGTGTGCGTTATATTCAGATCATAACGCCTGAGTTTGTGGCAATGTGGTCTTCGCTGCTCTGCAATGCCACCAGGGCATATCATCAAGCCTCCCATTAATAATACATGCACACATACGAGGAAACAAAATGAAATCCGACACATCACTGGGTTCCCCTACCAGCTCTCAGAGGAAAGACTTGAAAAATATCTGCACTTAGTTTTAAAGGGGCCGCAGGCAGCCCCATGGAACAGCTCCTCGTGAGCCCAAGGAACACTTTATTACCTCCATCCCAACACCATAACAGAAAGTGTTTTCTTACCTCAGTCCCCTTCTTATGCACGCCCTCCATCACAGCCTATGAAAACACCACTTACAACAGACAGCCCAAAGCAGCCCCATACACCCACGACTGAAGGCTCACGGTGTGCCCACCCCACAGGGTTAACAACATGCAACCCCCACACCTTGGGCACGAAGCCAGGCTCCCCCTGCTTCACAATTCTGCTCACCCAGCTTTAACCATCGCCTGCTGCCATCTCCTCTGCTCAGGTCACGCAGTTGCTGCCCTTCTTCAGCTGCAGACATTTGGCACAGATTTCTTCCCTTGGTCACAAAGTCCTTCTGCTGCCCCATTGGAACAGCTGCTGGCTGACAGTGCTGGGGCAGAACCGAGAGCCCACATGCTGTGCAATGCAGAGAACTTCAAACAAACCCTTTCTAACTCTCGCTCAGTAACTGCAGGCTCTGCCAGACTGCTCCTGGAACCAGCAGAAAGCTGTGAAACAAACACAGACGCTGTGCTTCCCATTGACAGAAAGGGATTAAACCAAAATCTAGCGCTCCTCAAGGAAGACACTGTGAGCGCCTTTCATTACGCCGCTTGCATTTGCATGGAGAGATGAGCTTGGCAAGACGGACAGCAAACAAAAACCACTGCTGCCATAAGGCTGAACAGCATCAGTGCGGCGTGGGACAGCAGCAACGCCCAGCAACAACTGCCGGGGCGGCTTTGGGGTGGAGGTGTTCTTCCTCTGCAGGATTTTCCAGGGAAACAACCCTTACCTGAAGAGCACGAAGGCCAACAAATCCAAATGCTTCCTAACCTGAACCTTGTCCCGAAGGCAGGCAGCTCACAGCGCTGCAGAAAGGCTTCCTCCAGGGAGATGGCATGGGCCGGTCCTGCTGAGCGCAGCCCTCATACACCCTTGCTGGTAAAGTTTCAGCCAAAGGTGACAGAAACGTTCCCTGCTTTTTCCTTTTCATAGACACCAACATCTCTGCTGGTCCAACACCGAGCAGAATCCAGGCTTTTTTGCTTAAAAACTGATTTTGCTTTCTTTCCCACACGGAACACCCCACAGCAAACTCACAGCCCGAGAAGGGCAACACCCGACCCGCTGAGGATCCCATCCACCCAGCAGAGCTCCCATTCAGCGGCTCCTCGCTGCAGGTCCCGGCGGTGACACCGAACGCTTCCCGACAACCGGAGGCGCCGCATCGCCGCGTCACGGCACCGTTCGGAAAGTTCAACGCGAGCACCGAGGCGCTTTGTTTCTGGGGCGGCTCTATTCAAAGCAGCCCGGAGCAGAAAGAACGCGGGCACCGTTCATCTCCCGGAACGGAGACGGAACGGAACAGCGGAGTGGCACCGCCGCGCCCCGCAGGACGGGAAGCGCCGCGTTACTTCGGGCTCCGACGGCCGACGGGGCCGATAGGAGCGACGGGGCCGCCCGCCTCGCCCCGCCCATCCCGGCCCTTTGTGCGCGGCCGCCCCGCGCGGCGCCACGGGCGTCACCCGCCGCCGCCCCGCGCTCCCGCGGCGCTGCCGGCGCGCAGCCCAGGACGGGGAACGGCGGCTGGGGGCGGGAGGAGCGCGGCGGGGAGAGCGAGCGAACGGGCGGCCAACGGCCGGAGCGCCCCGAGCCGCGCCCGGACCGTACCTTAACGAAGAGCTCGATGACGGGCTCCTTATCGCCCTCCTTCAGCCCATTGACCGGCACGGACAGCGCCATGCTGCAACCGTCGCCGCCTCTCGCCTCGCCCGCTGCCGCCGCCGGGACGGGACCGCCGCCGTTCGCCTCGCCCGCGCCGCGCGACTGCTGCCCGCCCCGCCCCGCGCTACAACGCACAGCGCCCCGGGGCCGGGAATGGGGGCGGAGCCAGAACAGGGGGCGTGACCTGATTGGAGGCGGTCACAGAAAAGAGGCGGAGACAACGGTGTGGGAGCGCGGTCGAACTCGGGGGCGGTTAGCGCTGAAGCGGGCGGGGCTAACGGCGAAGTGGGCGGGGACAAGGCGAAAGTAGGCGTGGCTAACGCGAATGTAGGCGGGGCCGCTGTGTTACGGGCGGGGCTGGTCGACGATGTGGGCGGGGCTAAAGGGTCTGGGCGGGGGCAGCGCTCGGGGCGCCTCGGTGGGCGCGGGCGGCTGAGATCATCGCTGGGTTTGGCTGTGTGCGGGCCGGGCGGGGGGAGAGCGAGGGGCGGGGAGGCGAGCTTCAGCCTAGTTTGTGCCGAGCTATTCAGGCCAAGGGCTGAGGAGCCGGGCAGAAAATGCGCAGGAGATTTGGGAGGAGCGGCGGAATGAAATTAAACCGTGCGCCCTTTTCCAGTGTTTTCCTCAAAATAGCGCACATTCCGGCTCCTCGCAGCCCTTCTCCGCCGACGGAAGGTTTTCCTGTTTGTTTTACAGAGTCCAAGGAACCGCTGTGACTCACGGGGTGGGACACGGGGTGGAGGTGTCATCGTAACCAAACAGCGCCCGGCCCTGCCCGGGAACCTCCGCCTGCAATTAATGGCAGAACTGTGCCACAAAGGCCGCCTTCAGAGCAGGGCTGGGGGGGGGGAAGCATCGAGCCGCAGCACAGAGCAGAGAGGTGGGAGCCGTGCCCCCAGTGCCGCCCAAAGGGGCCTTGAGAGTCCCAGAACCACCAGCTCCGCTCCGCCCCTCCTCTGCTAACAGCCCCAAACTCACTCTTGGGCTTTGTGACACCGGGGGGAGGGGGGGTTGCGGCAGCCGTCCTTGAAGCAGCGAATCCTTGGGAGTGCAGTGCGAAGCAGCAACCCCTTTGCCCCCCTGTCCCCCCCCCCAAATCCCCGCCAGGGGCCGCGCATCGTTGGTGCTGACGGTTTGCAGCAGCACGACGAGCTGCCCGCTCTGCCGCCGGATTCCTTCTCCAACAAAAGAGTCCACGTGCTGTTACCCGGCAGAGCAGCCCATTGCTGCGATCCAACTGCACGGCCCTGTCTGCTGCTTAACGTCTTTTCGGTTATTTGACTTTCAGATGACAATTTCCTGCTCTCCAGCGGCCTCCTCCCGAGCCCCTCCTCCTCCCCATTCAAACAAACCTCCGTCTCACAGCGGTTCTGAACGCTCCCAATTGTTTCCCGGTTCTCTAATTGCCGCTCACTTTCTGGCAGATTTCTGCAGTCGTACCCGCGATTCATTTATCCGACCTTTACAAAATAAACAACCGGGCACTCAGCGGCTTCTCCCACCTCTTCCAGCTGAGAGAAACGAGTCAGAAAAAGTGAAATAACGCGTTGGGAGCTGTTTGCACAGAGCCCCGGAGCCGGAACAAAGCGCTGCCGGCCCCCCACCTCCGCACGGAGCAGCGGGTCGCTCCCTCCGTGTTATTTTATGCTGCGTTGAGCCTTATTTCCCTCTGGCCGGGCTGCAGCACAGTGTGCCATTGTTTCACTTCTCAGCACTTTGGCCTTTACGCAGCGGTTTTCCATCCTGAGCTTTCCAAGTGGAGGAGGTGGATGTTGGAGCTGGGGCTGGAGCACAGCGCTGTGTGTCTGAGCGTGGGGCAGCACCTTAACCCCCACCCCACACCCCATATCCCCACCCCACACCCCACCCTGGCTCTGGAGCTGCTCGGGTGAGGAAGGAAGGGCACTGAATGAGGCCTGCAAGCACCCGGCTGGCTTTGGCAGGACAATTCTGAGCAGGGGTGGGTGAGGCTGAGCAAGGAACCTGCCCACAGGCACCTATAAAAGAAGGGCAGAAACCACAGCGCCTGGGTGAAAAACACAGCGCCCTCATCCAACACTATTCAAAATCCTGGGCTGAGCTGTAGGCAACACACAGAGCCCCACAGAGGCACAGCAGGAGCAGTGCCCTCTCTGCACAGCCACCAGCTCCCTTCAGCCCTGCATGGGCACAGGGACAGATGTGGGGCTGCACTCATCCCCCACCACCCGGTTCGACTGCTTTGTCGCTCCAGCAGCACTCATTTTTGTCTCATCTCCACGTTGAGCAGTGCTTGCTTCCGAAGCTCCATGCCCACCCCATCCACGTGGAGGCGAGCAGCCGTCTGTCTGTCTGTCTGTGTGTCAGACAGTTGGCGGTTTGCTGCAGCACGCAGCCAGCTGTCCTCAGGCAGCTCATTCTTTGTCGGGGTGAACGCCAAATCTCAGCACCAACTGCAGGCGCCCAGCGAGCAGCTGAGGATGCAGCATCACGCAGCGCTGTGCCCAAAGCCAACACTGCCAGCTTGATGCCAACAGCTCACAGCATCACTGCATGGCGAGTGGGCTCCACCCCACCATTTCTTGCTCTCTCCTCTTCTGCACAGCCTCACATTTGGTGCTGCTCCACTGTGTGTTTCTAGGAAGCGTTCATCAAGAAGTAATTGCAGCTCGGCATCACTTAACGATCACAGAGCTTCCCATGCTTTGCTCTGGTTGTTGGCATATGGGCCTTTCCCCGGGGAGCTGGACGGTAATTAACGCGTTCTGCGTTCAGTGTTTGCACTCACAGCACTGGGAGAACAGATGTGGACAAAGCACGCATTGTCTGCGCTGCGTCGGGTCCCTGCACGGGGTTACAGGAACGCTGCTCTGTGCACAGCTCCCACCTCGCTCCCTTCGGCGCCATTGAAACACTGGGGAAGGGGAATGGCTCTGAGCCTCCCCTGCAGACTGGGGATAGGAGGGACAAAGGGAGCCGAGAGGCCTTGAGGTCCCTTCCAACCCAGCCGAGCTGCAATGCTGTGATCCATCCGTGCTTCCTCCTGGATCTCTGTTCTGGGGCTGCCTGCAGATGGGCGCTCTGATGGCTCTGGTGTGCAGAGGGGGCAGCCCTCCATCCACCACAGGGCACCCATCCAACGACAGCACTGACACCAGGCGCTCTGTAGGTAAACATCGGAGCAAAGCCAGCACCAAACCTTCCTTATCCCCGTGCCAACAAAGTCATTTACTCTTTGCAGACAGGGGATAATCCATCCTCACAAAGGAGAAGAAAAGGCTGACAGGGGATCTGATCAGGCAGGGCTTGGGAGGATGGGGCCGAGACGAGGGGCACTGAGAGCTCCAGATCTCCTCCACCTGCACACCTGGAAGGAACAGCCCCAGCCCTCCCAGAGCTTCTCTGGGTGAAGGCTGCGATGGTGTCAGCACTGCTCTGTCCTGGGGGTGGCACACGGAGCAGGGATCGCATTTCCTCCTCTCTGAGTCACCGTGGAAGGAGCCAGATTTTTCCAAAGGCCTCGAGAAAAGAAAAGGAAATCCATTTGGGGACGAGAAGCAAAGGTCACGCAGCGCTATGAGGACTTAGAGATCGTTTTGTTGATGCAATTATTTGTAGTGCAGCGCTGGCAGCTCTCAACACAGCAGCAGGAATTGCCCCACCTCCCTGACACCCCATAGCGGGCACAGAGCTGAGCGTGAACCCAAAGCCACAGGGATGGGTGAGCAGTGATCCAGCAGGCAGAGAGCTCCAAAGTGCCCACAGCTGAGCCTGCTGCCTGCAGCACACGCTCTGCCTGCTTGAGCTGAAATTCTGGTCGTTCTGAGCAACAGGTATTTGGTTTTGCAATTGTAATCATCACCTCTTTAAGCACGGTGGCTTTTCTGTAGCAGTGCTGTGAGGTTGTGATAACAACGACCGCTTGGAGCCCCAGATTGAGGCGCTTCCACCTCAGGATCCTCCACGTCCACCCCAGGTGACAGCAGTGGGACCCTGAAATTCAAATGACACCACGGTGCCTCGTTAGTAAAAGAAATGTGCATTTTGAGATGACAAACCCAAATCGTCCCCACCTGCCCCTCGTCCTTAAGGGTCAGTGCTCACCTGGGGGCGGCGGATTTGGGGCTCCCTGGCAGCATGGCAAAGCCTTGCTATGTAGGGAAGGTCCACACCATCTGCCTGCCGTTATCCTGCTAATCCAGCCCTGCTGGTGGTGAACGCTTTGCATGGATGGATGCAGTCTGGGGGGAATCACACCACCATGCCCAGCTCCACGCAGTCACCTCTCTCCTGGGTGGCAGCGATGTGGCTGCTTTCCCTCACCATAGAGCAGAGCTGAAGCTGAAAGCCTGTGAGAACAGCATCCTTTATTCCCAGAGCATAAATAATGGAAAGAGTCATTCGTGTGCTTGTAACGGATTAAAAATAAATAAGAAAGAGCTGAGTTTTGTTGTGGGGATGGTGCACTTCATGCACTGTTCTCACCTCGTCCCCTTGCGTAGGTGCAGTGAACGTGCAGAGGCTTTACTAAGCAGTGACAGAGCCACAGTTCTGCCTCATCACAAAAATATCACAGCAGTGACAAAGGTAATTCTTTCACATCAATGCTCAGAAGTGGTGGCACTGCCACAGCATTTCCCTCTGCACTTAAGAGATGTAGCTGTGGATGTAATGAAACACCTCCTTTCTTTCTTTTTCCCCCTCCTCCCATTTCAGTGGTGGATAAAACAAAGCAGGAGAACTTTCTCATCTGCTTCACTACGACTGGTGCTTTAACAGCTATTTATTTCCTTCTCCCAAAGCCGTGCAGGCAAACAACCCCAGCACAAGTTTGAGGGTGAGCACCGTCCTCCTGCAACGTCACTGCCTGGAAATGGAGCCCAGATACAGATTAATGCCTTTCAGATTTCAGATTTCCGTGCATTTTACACAGCAGAAGAGCAGACTCTGCCCTGAACATTGACACAACTGCCTTTGAGAGCAGAACTTCTGTGGCAAAGCATGGGAAGAGCTCCACGCACTCACAGGCAAATCTCCCAGAGCCACACGAATGGAAAAATTCAGTCCTACAGTGGGTTCCTATGGACTTGAAGTTATTGAACACACCTGCTATTGTTTCCTGTGTGTTGACACAACAAATACATCATTTTTTACTATGAACCAGAGATATCAAGCTGTCAGTGACTCATTCCATCCTTACGTTCACTCCCATGGACTGTTAGCTCAATTATTACAATCCAATTAAGCTTGATTATTCTTTTTCTCTGCGCAGCGATAGCTGTTGCAGCAACGTATCCAGCTGCCACTTCAGAAGGGCTGCCTTGACTCACATGTCAATGCACACTATTAAAAGATCCGGAGCAAAAAGGAGCCACATGCTGGGGATGCTGTGATGCTGTTGGTGTCCAGCAGGGTCACCTTGGGAGCTGCAGCAGCATGGCTACAGATAAAAGGCTTGAGGTACAGAGCTAAGGGCTTAAACTGAGACCGAGTGGTAAAAGATCACCGTCAGCGTGACTTTGGATGATGCTTCGTCTGTTAGAGACAATTCATTAAGAGAGGAAGGAATCCAGACAATTCATTAAGAGAGGAAGGAATCCAGTGCCACGAACCAACAGCTCAGCACCGCAGAACTGCAGACACCAACACGGAAGGATATCAGCTCACAGTGATTCTGTGCTAAAAGTATCTACACAGCAGCACTGCAAACAGTGAGAAATGGTGCCTTCACTCAGAAGGGAAGGCCTGCTGCCCCTCGACAAGGATTTGGATGCAATATGGGGTCTGCTTGAGTAGGAAGGAAAGTATTCAGCTAAATTCCATTCAGAAATTAAACACTCCTCGAAAAGCATATTGAATTGCTGCTTTCAAACTTCAATTATTCCTTATGGATGGACATTCAGAAGAAAAAAAGAAGGGGAGACCCCTAAGAACAGAACCTCCAAAGGCAAAAGAAGTGCATTCACATAAAACACCGCAGGGGCTGCAGTGTCACAGCACCAAACGTCACCCACGTGTTGGTCAGGTGTTTCCTCCAGAAAGTTCTTCAGTTCATTGCTCACACACAACAACAGGTGGCAGCTGTGACAACGCTGCAGTGCTGATGAACTGTGGTTACAAGCACTCCAGCATTCCACGTTCACTTGGGCTAATAAACAAAACGTGCTGTGTGTGAGGAAATGCAGCAAGCAGCAGCTTTTAAAGACAGCCCTTCCATTGGGCACCTGCAGAACATCAGCTTTGCTTAAAGATCCCACACCACGTCAGATAAAGACTAATTAGGTACCTACACTTAATTATGCACACCAAGAGGTAGGACTGGTTCCCAAACCAGGCTGCAGCCCTCTTTCCTGAGCGGCTTCAGACTCCAGAACTGATTTGGCTTCTGAACCAGAACTTGAAGTTAAAGGAATGGACAGCAATGACCTCCCAGCCACCAGGATTCCTTAGATCAGGCCTTATCTGTGTTCTCATTCACCCTGTACAAAAGAAAGCTGCTCAGCCAAGCGTTCGTATAAAAATAGGCGAGGTCTCTTTAAATTTAGAAATTTATTTTGTTTAATCCACAAGCTTTATATAGCTTTAGTTAAAAAAACAAAAACAAAAAAACAGTGAAAACATGACAATATCCAAAGTTCAGGTTCCTCACACTTCCAAAGAGCACATCTCTGAAAGTGGCTCACACCGTTCAGAGGAACCCTAACGAGACAAGATCTATGAATGGGGCAACGACATCTCACAAACAGAATTTGGGTAACTGAAGGGATTGTTCTGGGACTGCTGATCATGGAAACTGCCCTTTAAAAAAATAAACAAAACAAAAATACAAATGAAATTCCAGTGTTCCAAATCAACATGTTACATCAATATAAACCCACAGTGTCCTGGTAAACAACATGCTTTCATTTATGTACCACTCTAAATTGCTATTCTTGATTTGCTTTAATGGAGACTGTACAGGCAACTGTAGAAAGCATTAAAATATACGTACTTCCTTGGTAATTCTGCAGTGGTTTTACTTCTGGGCAGGCTTACAAACCACAAAGGTTAGTAGCATAATGTGAGTGGATACAAAAGAAGTCAAATGAGACCCTCACAAATTATTCTAAAAGGCTCTGTTGAATTTCAAAGAAACCAGGGAGCTGATGGTCATGTTGAAAACCTTCAAAACAAACCCCTACTGCTTCTAAGAAGTCTTGCTCTAAAGGAAATTATGTTGACTGTCAATGAAAGAATGTCACTAGTACACTGTGGACACCTTTTGCAATGTAAATCCATGCCCTTTGTACATGGTGAACCTCAACCTAGCAATTATTACAACAAATGTTATATTCTAAAGCTCAAACACATTTAGCAATTTGAAATTGAATTCTGAGTACAAACCAAATAAAATGTACATTATATCAAAGGATTCGGCCTACGATGGGGGGGACACCTGTGCCTTCCTCATCGACCTCAGCGCCTTCTCTCGCAGGTGCTTTTCTAGATCATCAAGGTTGTCCTCTGGTTCACTTTCTGTCTCCTTGAAACAAAGAGAAAGCATTTCTTCACAAACTGGAAGCTGAGCTGGAGGGCTGCAGCCCAAGCAGCGTAAAGCATCAAGTAAAATCATAGAATCAGAGAATCACCAAGGTTGGAAAAGACCTCAAAGCTCCCCCAGTCCAACCGTTCACATGTTCCCAACAGCTCCCACTGAACCACGTCCCTCAACACAACATCCAGCCTTTCCTTGAACACCCCCAGGTTCAGTGACTCCACCACCTCCCTGGGCATCCATTCCACTGCCTGACCACCCTTTCTGAGAAGTAATACTTCCTCATGTCCAGCCTGAATCTCCCCTGCCGTAGCTTGAAACCATTCCCTCTGCTCCTATCACTGATGACACGAGAGCAGAAGCCGACCCCCAGCTCCCTCCAACCTCCCTTCAGGCAGTCATAGAGAGCAATGAGGTCTCCCCTGAGCCTCCTCTTCTCCAGGCTGAACATTCCCAGCTCCTTCAGCCTCTCCTCATCAGCCCTGTGTTCCAGACCCCTCACCAGCTTTGTTGCCCTCCTGTGAACACATTCCAGGGCCTCAATATCTTTCTTGCAGTGAGGGGCCCAATCACACTGTGTTTCTGAAATAGGATTGCTGCCTGCTCTCAAGAGCACTGTGGACATTCAGATCTATTTTCCTACACCAGGCTCTGAAACATTACATCATAAGAACCAAACTCGTACCTTTTTGGGTTCTGTCTCTGCTTCCTGCTCTTCCTGTGCTGAGGTGGTATCTGCTGCAGCCACAGCAGCAGCTGCTGCAGCCACTGCAGCCTTTTCCTTCTTATGCTTTTTGTGTTTCTTGTGCTTTTTATCCTTTTTATGCTTCTTATCCTTCTTTTTCTTCTTCTTTTTTCCGCCCCCTTCTTGATCTGAATTCTGCAATAAACAATCCAACAGATACGACTCATTCCCAAGAACCCTGAACTCTGGTAAAAGAAACCCACAGCCACCCCAGGCAATTCAGATGGGCCGTGCAACTTCTGACACTGAGGGAAACGGAGTGCCTCCAGAATGGGACCCTCCCACTGCTAATGGAACAACAGCAGCACTGAGCAGCAGATCTGCAGCACGTGGCCACGCTGTGGCTGAACACAGAACGTAACAGCAGGCCGACCTGATGCACGTGTGGCAGTGATGACACACCGACCTCTTCAGATATGAATACTAGAGGTGAAATCTAACTCCCTAAAACAAAGGGAATGAAATGAGGTCCCTAGGAAGCACATTCATAGAACAGGTAAGTAGGCCAAATTATCTTCTTCCTATTATGAACAGCTGGCAAATAAGGCTGCTGAGTACAAGTAATATCACTTCGCTTCGTAGGCCGTTAAGCTCCCTACAAGTGGAGCATACTTATTAAATAACACCAGCAACCTCAGGAAATGAGAAAAAGTGTTTTGTTTCAGAAGTTAAAATGTACATAAAGGCACTTCCCTCACTCTCAGAGAAGTCAGAGCTTGAAACATGCCTTACAAATATTTAATTTTGTAACTATGGAAAGTCTCCCCAAGGTTACTCAGTTCAGCAACCGAGCCTCTACAAAAACAACGCCACGTAACCCCAGAGAACAAACCAATACCCTCGCAGGAGATGGGCTCTGAGTTGGACTTTTAGTCTTTTTTGCAGGTGACCAGTTGGCAGAAGGGGAACGAGAGCGAGCAGGAGATGGAGGCCCTTGGTGCTTTTTTGGAGCTGGCTCAGGCGATCCCGACGCAGACCGTGATGACGACACCCGCCTGGCAGATCGTGGACTTGGGGTGGAAGCCCTTGGAAACAGAAAAGCTACACTTAGATTCTAGCATTAGAGATATAAGAGATGAAAGAGGAGAAAAAAATGTCACAAGTCGAATGAATGAATGTGTTTGTAAATTCATTAAGCAGCCTCTTAAAAAAACAATAGTTACTGTGCTGGCATATATCACAAAGAGCAAAATGATCTTACATCAGTGTGCATCTGTAATGCAAAAGGATATTGCAATTTGATAGCGTGTTAAGCAGTGAGACTATTGTTGGTCAGGAGTAATTGCTCCCTTCTTTCCTGATATGATTAATTTATAACTCTATTAAAACTCAAGAGAACAGCAACACTACTTCACCATCCAGTAAGGAAAGAGTGCAAACGTTCAGCTACAATTTTTCATCCTGAAGGAGTAAAGCAAACACATGCTTCTGACAATCTGCTCACAAAAGCAGCAATCGCACTGCAGACAACTGCTAACATGAGGTATTTTTATGTCTTGCACAATCAGGTGGGAAATTATTTACGAATGATAAGAAGTAGCAGTTCCCTTCTGCAGTTAGCTTTAAAATAAGACAAAGTTCATTTTGCTTTAAGCAAAACTAGGAACAAAACTTCTAAGTTTTGGTCTGCTTGCTCCCAGTGCTTTTCAACTATTAGCAGAACCCTCCAACTCTACAGCCTCTTCAATGCCTCTCCTCATGCTGCACTTCAGATTAAAAGCACCTACTGAATAAACCTCAGAAAAATCCACTCAGGATTCAGCAGTACAAAAGCTGAAGCTGAGGAGCGCCTCCAGCACTTGAGCAACCTGAAGATACATGGAGCCATTGCTCACGTGATGCCCTAACTGCTGTCATCGCATTACTTAAGAATCCAAACACCAACAAGAAATAAGATGGATTTTTTTACTTTGTCTTCTTCGGTTCTGGTGTTCTCGACACCCTCCTGATAGGTCTGGTGCTTGGAGATGGAGACTGTCTTCTCTGGGGCGATGCTGACGCTCCCCTTCGCAGCGGCGGCGGGCTTGAAGAGGTATGAGAAGCTCTAGGCCTTGGTGAAGGTGAATGCCTTTTGTTTTGTGGTGGAGAACGTGTTTCTCTATTGGACCTACTGGAAGGAGAACCCTTCCGGTGCTTGGAAGATATCGATGGCGAGCGCCTCTTAGCAGCTGGAGAGCTCCTCTGTTTTGGGGGTGGTGAATGGGAGACTCTGCGCTTTGACTGCGGAGAAGGCGACGCTCGTCGTTTGGGTGGAGGAGGAGGAGAAGCTGTTCTTCTCTTTGGAGGTGGAGAAGGAGAATATCGCCTTTGTATCGGGGGGGAGTACCTCCGGGGGGAGGGCGAGCGCCTGCGTGGGGGTGGTGATGGAGACCTGCAAAGGAAATAATTGCTTAGGTACCAGGCAGGGGTGGGAATTGCTTACAAGTGTCATTCAGTATGCATAAAAAGGGAAAAATTCCAGGAATGTTCCTCTAAACTTAAGTTAGCACTTTGTTCAATAGCAAGCTTCGTGGAACAGTTTGATATTCAGTACCTCATACAGCAATCAAAGCAGACCACGTAACTACCTTAGAAAATCTTAACAGCAAAACTACACCTCCCTCAGCAAAGAGAGGTTTCCAACAGCACTGCACTTCTTTTTACAGGTCACAGCTGGAAGCCAACAAACCCCAAACGACCAAAACCAGAACACAGTACCTTCGGCGGGGCAAGGAGGGCGAGCGCCGTCGCCTGGGAGGGGGGGGTGGGGAAGGAGAACGCCGTCGCCGGGCAGGTGGGGGGGATGGGCTCCTCCTCCTCCTACTGGAGAAATAAAGGGATTACTCAGAAAAGCTGCAACCGAGCCATGAGGCGATTCCTCTCGTTCCACTATATAATGTCATCTCATTTGTGTGCTTTTAATTTCATTAGAACTGCTACTGAGGGGATAAAAGGAGAGATCACTGATGAGCCAGACCAGCTAACAGCTCTGTCATCACACAGTGATGCTAGGTGTACAGTGCGGAAGGAGCTCAGAATGTTTCTGTCCTGCTACAGTTGGACACTTCCAGCCAGCAGCAGCCTGAATCATAGGATGGGCAGGGTTGGAAGGGACCTCAAGGATCACGAAGCTCCAACCTCACCCATCACACACAGGGCCACCAACCTCCACATTTAACACCAGCCCAGGCTGCCCAGGGCCCCATCCAACCCGGCCTTGAACACCTCCAGGGATGGACGGGGCATCACAGCCTCTCTGGGCAGCTGTTCCAGCCCCTCACTGCTCTCATAGCACAGAACTTCCCCCTGACATCCAACCTCAATCTGCCCTCCCTCAATTCAAACCATTTCCCCTTGCCCTGCTGTTATCTCCCCTTTCCAAGAGCTGATTTCCCCTCCTGTTTTAAGCTCCTTTTAGATACTAGAAGGAAGTACTGAGGCTGGATTGCTGTGAACAGCATGAAACTTCGTTCTTGGAAACAGCTCTCATCTATGGATCTGAAATCCATAGAGATGCTAAGATCAATCTCTCAATCTAAGATCTTGAGATGCTAAGAGCAATCACAGTGGCTGCTAAATTGCAGATATTTGGCTTTAAGTTACACAGAAAATGAGTCATTTTCTGCTCTCCAAGATAAGGTTTAATACAAAATAAAACTTCTGGAGAAATGGGAATAAACTGTGCACTTCCATGGCATTAATAAATGGGAGAAAACTGGTATTCTGTAAGGAAAAAAGGTTCGTTCTCAAAAGCAAATAGATAAAACAAAATGATGAAGTATAAAATGAGTGTGATAAAGAATTAAAGGGCTCATTAAAGAAACTAAAAGTTTACTCCAAACACCCTGGTTGTTGTTCTACAAGGCCATTACTTACAACTTCTATAGGTAAGGCTTTGCTTCAAAGCAACATTCTTTAATGATCTGGGAAAACAGCAGTGTCTAAGTGTCAGGGTTGCGCTAATTAAATGTGTTTAAGTATTCATATGATAGGCAATAGGCAAATTTAGGCACACTGCAAGATAGTTTCAAGTCTTTGAATTCTATTTTACACAGCAATGTTTCTTTTGTTCTTGGAATTTTTTTCCCCCCATTAGTGAAATGTTCCAATACCCAAAGGGTTATGGGACAGATGAGCCTGAATTTCCTTCATGTTGGTACTGTGAGTGTGTGCAAATTCAAATGAAAGAAGTATCCATAACAAAAAAAGAGCCAAATGATTTTCCATATGTAAATCCTGTTAAAGAGATGAATTTCTAACCAACCTTTTCATCACTGGTGATTGCCACCTCTTTTCCATCTGCATCCTGACAGCAGTGGAAGAAAAACAAAACAAAGAAAAAAAATAATCTAACTGCCCAATATTTGAGGCAGAAATGAACACGTTCCAACCACCACAGATTAATTCTCAGCAAGAGAATACAATTGTGGAACAAGGGTCCATCTAAGCAGGCATCCCTCACATGACATGCACTACTACATGCTTCAAGGACAGAGAACAAAAAGCAGCCTGTATTAAAGCCCAACTTACCTCAGTGATAGCAAAGGTGGCCAGTTTTAAGAGAATTACATCAATATTTTAGTTCACACTAGGGGCTTTACAGTATTACATCTCAAATCACAAACACTAAAGAGAAAGCTTGCTGTATGACCAGCACTGGGACCCTGCTTTTCTTCTTTAAGTTATTTTGGAGAAAACAAACCATTATCTGCTCACACAGTTCTGTGCTGAGGGCACAATTCAGTTCTTTTGGGGAAGTGCTGACAAATAAACACGTGAACTGACAGCTATCAAAGAAAAGGGGCTGTGCTCATAGTTAGAAGCTGTTACCGAGGGGAAGGCTCCTTCTGTCGTTTCCGTGGGGATGGAGATGGGCTGCGTGAGTGGGAATGGCGGCGGCGCCGACCGACCTCCCCGTTCTTCACGTTGGATCTCTTGGGTCTTTCCTCTTCAGATGAAGATGAGGAGCCAGAATCTATGAATGGAGAAGAGTTACCCCCTGGAAAACAATTCTTCTGACTGCTGCAAAGGTACTGCTATGGTTATAATGCTGTGTAAATGACTAACCCTCCACTCCCACTAAACAAAGCTTCAGTTAACAACAAGTGTTCATTTGTAGCTGATAAACCCATCAGAGCTGGGTAACAACAACTGCAGAAACTAACTCTACACCTAAAAATTCACTAGTCAGGTCGTTTTAAAAACAATCTGCTGTGATGCATAAAAGCATTATGTGCACAGAAACCTACATTAAGTCAGGAGTCCAAGTTTTAGGAAATAACCTGCAGTAAGAGACTAAGGAAGTCATGGGAAACATTTGTGTGTGACAGGAAGAGTTTAAAAGTGAAGCTTTCAAAGATGCTTAACAGGAGACATGTCACAACCTCTAAGAATTAAGCCTTATTTAATGAAAGTAGCATGAGCAATAATTAAAGTTACTCCACTATGAGTAGGTAAATATGCAGCTAAGTTTGCAACAGCACTGCACACAGCAAAATCATTTTAAAATGAACATTTGAACCGAATGATAACTCCTGCAGGAGCTTTAATCCAGGCTTAGGAAATGCAGGTTATCCATACCAGATGAAGACTGTTGATTTTGCCTTCTGTACTGACGTCTCTGTTGCACAGAATCTGCTGCAGCCATTTTACCTCCCTTATCTTCTTCTGAAAAGATACAGATAGAATATTTAAATTGAAAATGAATTTTGCCTTATTCAGACAGAAGTAATGCCAGTTGATAGTTTGTCAGGCATGCTTTGTTTTTTCCAGGAAAGCTCAGATGGAAGATTTGAGGCAGTGTCAATGATCATTTTATGCTTCTGAAAACTTTATTTCAATGCCAGCTTACCAACAGCACTCAGCACTTTACTACCTTCTATTGCTACACTTCTTAGACCAAAAACCCCAACTGAGATGCTGACAAGTGAGAACCGTACCTGACTCAGACAGCTCAGCCTTCCTTGGTTTTGGTGCTGGTGAAGGAGATTCTCTTTTTTCAGTACTCTTATGCTTGGGTGCTAAAGGAAAACCAAACAAGTTGCTTCAATTTGTTTGTTTCTTAAACCCATGCGTGCTTTTCTGCTCAAACAAGCTGCAGATGTCACCTTCGAGCAGGCAGAAGCACAAAGACAAAGCAGCTGAAAGAAACTCATTTCTCACCTGACGCCCTGCCAGGTGAAACAGAGCCACGGCTTTTCCTTGCACGATTTGACTGCTGGGGTGTTGGAGATCTGCGTGGTTTGGGAGGTGGACTTGGTGGTGGGGAAGGTCTGTGCCTCCGCCTCGGGGGGCTGGCAGAAGGAGACAGCCGCCGTGTTTTACGAGGAGGGCTGGACACAGGCCTTTTAGGTGGTTTCTTTGGTGGAGATCGGGAACGTGAGGAGGAGGAGGAAGAGCTACTGCCAGATAAAGATGCTGATGAGCGTCTCCTCCTGTAAATCAGAGGCAATGTTAGACCTGGCCCAGGAAGATGCTTGAGCACGAACACAGAACTGAATTTGTTCACAAGCACACAGAGAGCCACATACAGCAGCACTTCCAAAACATGGCCAACAGCCTCCAGCACTTGGTTTGTAGAAGAGATTAACACCCAACCTTTCCATTATTTTTAAACTACAGTGAGTAAAATAAATAAAAACTGGTTAGTGTTACCTTCACTTGCTTTCTGCCAATCTACAGGCTACAACTAAGCTTTTCTCCTGGGAGTAATTAGTTTCCTTTGGGCTCTCTAACTTCTGGATGGTTAAGAGGATTCTCCATGTTAGCACATGTAATCACCTTTCAAACAGATCTATTTCAGAGTTTAGTGTGCAAGTATGCTCAGAGGTTTCTATACCAGGAGGCAAAAATTTCAGACAATTCTGAACCTGCTTATTCATCCTTAAGTTTTAGTCTTTCATCTTTACTTTGTCATTTTAAAAAGACAGGGCCTCTAGAATTCTGCGGCAAAATTTGTGGCAAGTTCTGTTGCAACTTTGTACCTGCAGAATCCACCTTTGGCTGCAGAATTCCTGAGAACCTGGAAAAAAGAAACCCTACCTTGAGTGAGACAAACACTTACTGAAAGGGAGCTCTTGTACATCTTGCAAGATACATGCTTGATACTTCCCACAGTCTTTTTGCAATAACTGTGCACAATGAACATCTTTACAAAGTCAAAAAGGTGCTTATCCCTTGTTTGAAAAAAGGAAGAACTGTTCCTTCTTTAGAAAGGAAGAACTGTTGTGCACAGGAAGCATCGCCTCAGTTCTCTTCCTATGAAGAGGACAGGAATTTATTCTATTCCTACGAAGCCAAATCCCTGTTTTGACGTTGCACTGAGCACATAATTCTCCACAATGCAACTCAGAGCCTTCCTACCAGAATAGCTGCTCAAGGATCAAAAATACAGCCTTCAACACTAACGAGGAGACCTCACAGAGTTCTTATTTTTAATCAGAACATAAAGAAATACATTTCAAGTCCAAGTTTAATTTTTAACTTAACTTTAGGTAATGGAACGGTGAGTCATAATTAAAAAAAATCCCAACAAATATAATCCAGGGCTTGTTCTAACATTTATCTCCAAGGGGAAATAAAAACAGCCAAATGATGCCTCATCTGCCTAAGGGGGGAGCTATCCAGAGCCATTTCAAGGCCTACAGTTGCCACTTCTTCAAACTGTCATGGTTCTTCCAGCCGTCCCCAAAACACTTACAGAACATGACATGGCAGTTCCTACATCATTCAAATCACACATTACTGGCAGAGCTGAGAAAGATAAACAAGACAGTTCTGGTAAACCTCATTCACCAAAACTAACTAAAAAAAAAAAGAAGGAAAGGGAAATCGTACCGCCTCACTGGTGATCTGCTTCTTCTGTGCCTGGGTGGGGGAGGCATTCGCCTTGGAGGAGTCCTCCTCCTCGGGGACGGCCGTCGTCTCGGGCTTGGTCGCCTTCTAGGGGAGAAAGACCTGTCACAATCATAAGCCCCAATGAAAAGCAACCACCTAGTTTGCAGACTTGAGGAATGCTTTTCCTCTGGGAATTGAGACGTTGCTTTTCTCCAACTGCCAACTTAAAGTAGCGTTTAAATTACGACGCCAAGTGCTGCATCCAGCCACCATCGGTGGTTTTACGTTTGCAGACACCTTCTAAGAGTGAAGAGGGGAAAAAAGTAAGGAGGAGGGGGAGGAATTTGCAAAATCTTCACTATCAGACCTAAAAGGTGGCTACATAACTCTCACTGTCACCATTAGTCTCTGCAACCCCTTTCTCATGAACTAACATGAGGACAACAGCTCCCCACAACGTTTATTCCTTGAATACATCATTCTCATCCGGCCCAAAACATTCACAGCTCACATCACTAAAAACACAACTACCTAAATGGAGAGCATGACATTAAATGGCGACTCCAGAAGAA